ACTCTTGAAGTTCGATACTGCATTTGGAGCTTATCTTGGGCCATCCCTCCAGCTTGTCTCTGAAGGCTTTGGCTATGAGGAATGGATTCCCATATCTTTCCTCGAGGATCCTCAATGCTGCATGATAGGCTGACTCTGAACCAAGCAGGAAGTAGCTCTCTATAGCCTTTTTAGCAGGTCCACCCACATACTTTCGCAAGTAATATATCTTTTCTTCAGTTGGAATGTTTTTCCGATCAATGAGTGTCTGAAACGAAACCTTCCAGTCATTGAATCTGAGTGGGTCGCCACTGAATATTGTTGGTTCAGGTATAGGAAGACGACCTGCACTGATGGACTCTGCAAGTGCTCTAACAAGAGCTGCTGTACTGTCATCTTGCTTTGAGTGTGCCCAGTCTTGTGGTGAGGAATGGTGCTGCAACCGATTATTTTCATGTTTCACTTCTTCTCTTTCCTTAATACAGACACTTTGATGGAGTAGACTGCTTATTTCTTCATCTGAGCACTCACTCTGATCATACACTCGCTGACGTGCCTTAGCAGCTTCTAACTTTTTAACTGTCTCTAGTCGCTCCAGTTGTCTGCGCTTTGCATCTAGCACCTTTTGTCTCTCTGCAGCTTCAGCTTCAAGCTTTTCCAATTCCTCGATGCAACACTCTTGTTCTAGTAGTACTTCTAGTGTAGCTTCATTGGCAGCAACTTCAGCAGCGGCATCTTGTCTGCTAGCAGAAATCCGACTTGAATGTCTGGAGCTGCCTTGAGCATGAGAGGACTTAGTGAATTGGGATTTGACACTTATCTTGTCTGAGGCTACAGACTTGAATGTAGACGATGTCGCCCTGTGGCCTCGTTCTTCATTTCCTCCACCGTTATCTGCTGTCTCCAAACGATCTTTTGCACTTTGAATGATCTTCCTGGTTACTGCATCACAGGTGTCAATTCTGCGACGTGTGTCCTGGTCAGGGTTGCCTATGTGCCTCAACTCTTCATAAGCAATGTTCAGATTGTTTGAGGCTACGCTTACTTTGCTGATGTATTCATGTAGCAGGTTGTTAGAGCATTGTCCACTCAGGGCTTGCTTGGCGTCCTTAGCGATAGCCTTCCACTCCTCATAGCTCACAGTGAAACGGTGATCAAATCTTCTTATTCGCTCACTGTACAGTTCTTGGCCCTTTTCCGTTAATTTTCGGACTCTTTGGCTTCTCCGTGGTTCTTGTGAGGAAGTGTGGTCATCAGCTCTTGTGCCTTTAGTGGCCTGTGGTTGCATGTCTATGCACTGCTGCTCTATATTTTTTCCTGCACTAACCTGCTTTCTGCTAGAGGTATGACTAGGCTCTGACATTGCTACTTGATGTACTTAATTTTGGGTTAAATGTAATTTGGCAAGAAGCTAAGTGATTCACTTCTCATTAGCTATTCACATTTATAAACTTTCTACCACTTATTAGTTTTTAGAAAATGTTAGATCCACTTCACACAAATCTATGATCTCGTTATTCTACAAAATGCAAAATTCAGAAAAAATTGTGCAGAACATTTTCATTTTAAGTCTCTTAGTTGCAGCTTAGTTAACACTTAAACATGCACGCAACTATACCGTATGAATATGACGGCAAACGAAAGTCACAGTCTCTTGTAGGAAATATTTAAGCTTCTTGGCTTCAGCCGGATTCGTGGTAAGGGACCTGGAGTCTTCTGTGGATGCTGCGGATGTGTAAATGTCAGGGGCAGATGCACACCTTTGGAAGTAGAGATGTCCCTTCTTGTCAATGGATCACGGCTCTTTGGTACTGTCTTCCTCGTCTACTCATGCAGAGCAGTTGAGTTCTCACTGTAGCTCCTCCAGTGACAGACATGAGGAAAGAGGTCTTGGTTAGAATACAGGGCTTTAATGCTGGTCAACCCGTGAGAACTGGTTGAAGAAAGAAAATATAAATTAACAAAAAATAATGCTATATGCATGTCTCACACATATTGTGTCATAATCAAGGCCATATACAGCTAACGTTAGACACTTTATATGTTATACATCAAAACAATTACACATGAAAACATTAGTAAACACAAACACCCTCACAGCAAAATAAACGGTCAACAAACCTCATTGCTGCTTATCACATAGAGGTGCTAAACATTCTTTTAAATCTTCTGTATCTTCTTCTGCCTATTTTCTTGTAAACTTATGCACTTAAACACGACAACAGCGGATAAATCAGTCTCTTTCGCCGTAAAGTTTTTTCTCTGTGCGTCGCTCAAAAGCGCCCGGCCGGAAACCTCCGGGCGGAACCAATAATTAGTTCCGTCTTGCTGTTAACATTAAATTCAGAAGAAACAAAACAGTAAAAGTGCTAATACAGAAATAAACTGGGGACAAAGGCAGTTACATCCCGCTTCTGTTTGTTTCCTCTTGAGAAAAAGACACTAGTGATTTCCCTTGTTTCTCCTCTAGAAATTCCTACAGCAATGTTTACAAAAGGAGATCTCAATATAAACTCAAACATTTCTCATTAAATTCATCCAAGACCAGAAGAATAATCTTCTGCGCAATCAAATATTTCACTAGGTTTTTCTCCTAACGGACCTTAGTAATCTCACGTCTCCTCTATGCGAGATCTCAACAATGTCTCAAATGGGGCTCAGATTTGGCAAGACACCAAAGTCTGCAATGATGTGCAATCAAATGTCAGAGATCTCAATTTGAACAATATGTATATAAATATTTCTCGTCAATTTCTTCTAAGACCTAAAGAGTTATTAAACACATATAAAAGCAAAAATCACAAATGCGTTCTCTAGTATCTCAGTTGTTTCTCCTAGACAGCAATGAGATGCAATGGATATCAAATGGAGACATACAGTAAGGCCCCATCCACACTACTGCGTTTTAGTTTAGAAACAGAGAATTAAAACGAATACGATCTCCGTCCACACCAGCGTTTTAGCTGCGTATTAGAATTGATATCCGTCCACATTAAAACGACTGAAAACGCGGATCACGTGACCATTCACCTACAATGGCCATGCGCGTGCCGGTATAAACAGGAAACAGATGGACTATTCCTCAGATTTGACGAAGAAGAAAGTAGCTAAGTTACCTCTGCAAAGAGCGACGCTCCATGTACGTTCGATACCGCCGCTGCACACGGGAATTGACACAGATCGCTCGAATAATAGCTTGCCTCCGGCGCATGTACGCAGTTATAGCATTGAAAAATGCAGAATTTACTTTCACAACAGCTGCTAGCAAAGACATCAAAGTCAGAAACGCTTGCCATGACTGATGACACCCAACCAGAGAGCCGAGCGTGAGCCTCCGCGTCATCGTTTCTAAAATCCTCCGTTTTGACCTGTCTTCACTAAAACGCCCTCCGGAGATTCAAAACGCAAAATGGGGTCGGCAGCGTTTCTAAACTTCTCCGTTTTAGGTCTTCGTTTTTGCTGTTTTAGTCTGGATGGGAGGTGCAAACGTAGCAAAAGGTCTCCGTTTCTAATCTAAAACGTAGTAGTGTGGATGGGGCCTAAGCCTCTGCTTCTCTGATTTTGTGACTTCTCTGAGAAAGTGACTCTCTTCTCTTCAAGAGTTTCATCTCAAACTGTGCTCAGACTTTCCAAGAAAGTTTGCCATGCATAGATTTCAATATTAACTCATCAACATTTGACATCAAAGTTGATACTTAAATGAAACGAAACAGAACTCAATTAAGTCTCCTGAGCTATGTGACAGAGCAACCTCTAAGCAATATCAACACCAAGGGTCACCATGATTTTATAAGTCACACGTGTTCCTGGATCAACATATTTTGATTCCCCATACGCCATATACTCCATAAACCTAACCCCGCCCATAACTTATCCCTAAAATCAGAAGGAAATGATAGGTGAATAACATTGATGTAGAAGCACCTAACCCTGGTTGTAAGCCTAAACTTGACATTAAACTTCAAACCTAATTGGTTGATTGGGATGTTGTTCTAGGATCAACAATGACGTTGATCCAGGGACATGTTGAACTTGTACTTGGTGAAATCAAGTTCACCCAACATTAAGACATGATCATGCAGATGAAGGTAAATACATCAGCAGCACTGGTTATAATAGTATTATGACATATTATGTTTCACGGATTACGTTTGCAAATCACACTGTGGATGCCTGCGTGAGATGCCATATCCTGTATTTTGCATGTGCACCCGTGTTTTGTTGTCATGCATTCTGGGTTTGATTTGAGTGCCCGTGCAGATAGCAGCCCTGCAGATGACTGACTCAGCATGTAGCCTTAAAAAGTGTTTGTTCGTTAAGGCTAATGAGAGGAGGCTTTGACTTCCCTTTAATCTGCTTAAGTAAAGCATGGCCTCCAATGTGAGAGACGTCTGCTCTTAACGCTAACGCTCTCCACCTGTCCTGTGCATCTCAATGTGATCATGACAACAAAGTCATTGCCTACCAAAGACTGCTTTTTCATGAAGAAAAAAAAAAAAAAAAAATTCATAATTGCAACAAGTGATGAGAAAGCTTAACAATTTGTGTGTGTGTGTTTGTGTTTATTGTAACAAGTAGCCTATAAACGATTGTCTATGATTTTGACATTTTCCACCACTAAATGTTGCAATTAAATAGGCAAAATCTATCAAATTAAAACATAAAACCAGGTAGGGTTACAAATGTAGCCTAATTTAAGTTGCCTCTCAGTATAGAGAGGCAACTAGTTTGGGGGGAAATTTTGTTTTTTAGTTGCAGATAAACATATTTCACAGGGGGAAAAAATAAAAACAAGTTCTATAACTTTTAATAGAAAAACTGGAGGATTTAATGTATATTTTATATAACTAAGTTTGAAAAGTACTAGCTATTTTTTTCTGACATCAAAAAGTGACAAGGAGCAAGAGTCAATGCTGAGTTCCTGTTGCCAGGGCAACGGTGGCTCTCATAGGCTTTTCAGGCAGGTCATGTGACCAGCAGCTTTGACGTCACTGTGGGAGGCAGTTTGGTGCTCTGAACTAAGCTGCGGGTGAGTCTTGTGGAGTTTTTCGTTGGAGCTGCTGTTTGCATCAAAGCTTGTTCCTGAGACCTGTGGCTGCATATCACCACTGAGGCCACACAACGCCTCTTCCCTGCAGAGGTCCCCGGGTTATGGCCATCTAAAATCTCACGGCACAGCAACAGAACAACCACCTAAGGTGAGTTCTATCCTTTTTCTCCATGCTTTGCTCTTTTTCTTCCAGCTGAAGTCTCAGTGCAGTTGTATGCTGGCCATGCACTGATGCACAAGAGGACGACAACATGAAATTGAAAAGAGACAGCTGAGATTTTTCAGTATCCCATGAGGTTTGGATGACTGGAAGCAAACTGTTGTTTGAAAGTGAACAGGATACAACAGTTTGAACTATTAGGATGAGGACATCTCTATCTGGAGAATGAAGGTTACCTGTATCTTTGGTTTTATCCCAATCTCTCCTTCTTCCACTGAGAAACCTGGAACTGACAGCATGCTGGAAGGCGACCGACCTGAGTGAATGTCAGATCATTTGGCTTTGGATAAATCCTGGAACATAAGGCTTAGAGGAGGAAATACTGCAAGAGGCTACATCTACATCATGCATTTTGAAGTGCCATGTTGATACTAGAGTTTTTTGAATTTCCGAATATGTCAACAACATGCTGGGTTCAAATGCATATACATGTATAAAAGAAAGTCTAACTGGTCACCAAGTTCTTCACAATTTTGAATAACCCTTCAGCTTTTATACATGATTTTGAATTTTAAAAAATGCAAAAAGTCCATGTAATTAATACGAGCCCAAATTATCATTTAAAAAGTCAGACTATGTCTGTGGCTCTGTGCAAACATTTTTCGAGCATATTCATAGGTTTTTAAGTAACAACGCAGTTATAACAGCTCACCTATTGATTCAGTCACATGTATCATGTGAAAGAGGAAATAAGCCTTTTGCTCCAAATGACTTAATTCTCATTATTGAGTGGTTGATCACAAGTACACTGAAAAATATGATAAAGTCATTTGTAAAGTATCACAGGGAACTCTGGTTAAGTGACAAACATGTTCTGAGAACACTTAACAAAACATCTCAGGTTGCAGGAAGTAGCTGAGACACTCTTTTTTTCCCTTTATTGTTGAGGCATGCATGTAGGTTACACAGTGACGTTAATTTTTATTTTATTTTTATCTGACTGGCTGTTCAGAAAGCATTCTGCTCAGACAGAGTTTTGACCCGCAATCTGTCTAAAAAGACGCAAGTGGGCGCTTGGAAAAATGTGATGGTCTGTAGGGATGTGGAAACAGAGACGCGCGGCTTTAGAGTTTAGTATAGCCCCAGAGAGCCGAGAGAGAGAGAGGGGAAAAAATAAAGAGAGAGAGACAAGGAAATTTAGAAAGGGAGAGGGGAGTGTGTGTTTAAAGAGCTTCCTGCGAAGAGCTGCCGACACAGAGATGGTATAGAAAGGGAAGAAAGGAGGAAAGAAAGCTGGCGACATCAAAAGGTCCAACAGGTGAAACTGAAATCACATAATTTACGTCAAAGTGGGTCAGAGAAGGTGAAAGTTCTTCCTTGCCACTGTCACCTTTGGCTGTATTTGGCTTGTTGGGCACTTTTTTTGTAAAGCTGCTTTGGAACAATATGTATAATGACATACGCTACACAAATCTATTCAATTCAGACAGTCTGTGGGTAGTTGACACGACATATCAAATAGGCTACACTCTTAAAAGTATAGCTAATGGTTACAAATGGCGTTTTCACAGCGATTGAACCATTCTGGGTTCCTCAAAGAACAATTAAGTGAACTTTATAAACCTTTTGTGCAATGAAAAGGTTCCATGGATGTTAAAGTTTCTTCATGGAATTATAGATGCCTTTAAAGAACAGCAGTGTAACAGCAGTGTCCTGTTGTTTGATATGCTTTAAAACTATTTTAAACAAAAGTTTGCAAATTCTTTTAGAATTATTTCAAATATTAACTGAGCTTAAATTAATTGAGTGACTACATAGAATGCTTGTATTGTAAAAAATAAATAAATATTAAAGTGAACAGTGAAAATAGTCATTAAAAATGCTGAAAAACAAAGGACATATTATTTGTTTGTAAGATGTGTAGTAGGCCTATATGCTTTGAAGGCAAACATGGATAATAAAAGTTTAATTTCTGGCATATAGACTGACTGTGTAGATTAACATAATATATAGGGTTTGGTATCAGAGCATTATGACCAGTGATGTTCATTAATGTCTTCTGTTTAGTTGTGCACGTCATGGCAGTGTAAATATAGACCTGGTGGCTACAGAGTCCATCTTCTCTGAGTTTCAGCTTCAGTATAATCATAGTAAAAGCATATACTGTGACTTGTCTCACTCCTGAGAGCTTTTCACTTAACATCTCCAAGAGCTTTTGAGTCGCAGTGGACTGTGATGCCCAGTGCAATGTGTTGTCCACGGTGTTTAGATTGACTCGTGAGGATTGTGTGTATTTTTAATGAGGCTGAGGCTAGTTATTATTGTAATGTAAGTGACAGCAGCTGAGAACAGTGATAGCACATTGTAATGAGAAGTGGAGTTGAGCCATAGTGATTTCACGCTTGAGTTCATCTACATTCAATTTGTAAGCAAGCACTGAAGCTGTGATATAAAAGCATTTCCAGTTTGTTGACATGTCCCGTCACAATTGCTGTAATGGACCATGATTTAAAAGTGCAAATGGAATGAAAAAAATGTTTCCAAAAATAGGCACTTTGCAAATATTTACGTTAAGAGCATGTGCTGGAATTGTCGAGCATGTCTCACGATGGCGGTTAGTGCCGTTCTCACAGATGGATGGAGGATTGTGTCGAGGTCAAGCAGGGATAGTTTACAAGCAGTTAAAGCTTTTAGATTAATTGTTGAACGTTTACATTTGAACTGGACAAACATGTTTTACGTCAAAAGTCTGGGTATTAATATAAATTTGCTGTTTCTTCTGACAGGAAATATGGACCTTTAACGACCTCGGCACTAGTATAAAAAAATGTCAGCCTAGGGTGTGTGATATTTATAACTACTTTCAAGTACAGTCACTGAATTTTTCTCAGGCAAGCGAGACATTTAGATGGTCATTTTACTCTTTCAACTGCTTATACTTTTATATGTAACCATTAGGCTACTCCAATGTATTCCAAATGCCACACTCTTATTTCATAGTGTTATAAAACCAATTTGTGAAGGCAAAGATCTCAGCAGAGGTCAAGCCTTGAGAGAGAAAGTCACCATTTTCAACCTATCCCTGCAAATCCTCATATTACGGTCACTGACTTTCTACATCCATGAAGAATCCCAGCTTATTTTAGAAAGTTTTACACATTTAATTGTGATGGATTTATTTTATATTGCATATTTTATTTCATATTTAATATTGCGTGAGCTTAGAATTATACAGTTCTATCTCCGTTTAGGGTAGTTCTGAGATATTGAGCATCAAAGTTTTTACATCCCTGCTGTTTTGTGAGATGGAACCTTTTTATTATATTAATAACTACTAACAAAAAATTTTTTTTTACAAAAATAACACCACACAGGCATTAATAAACACCTAATGGATAAGATTATGTCAAAAACTCAATTTCGACCAAAAGTGGAGACAGAACCTTATAATTTTAAGCTCACGATTGGGTGATCCTGAGGTTGCAGATTAATGCAGACTCAGCAGGGAAAAATGTCTTGATGTATGCATGGCTCAAAATTTTATTTTGACTTAGAAAAGCACATTGTTGTGTTTTACGCATTACCAATGGATTCCATAACATATGCATGCTGTGTTTTCTTTATCACCAAGTCCTGGTATAAGATGTTTAGTGGTCCTTACATAACAGACATGAGTCTATATTTATATCCTACTGTTTCAGATTAGCCCAACAGAACCTTGAGTTAATCCTTCAGGTACAAGGAGAAAGAGAGAGAGAGAGAGAGAGAGAGAGAGAGAGAGAGAGAGAGAGAGAGAGAGAGAGAGAGAGAGAGAGAGAGAGAGAGAGAGAGAGAGAGAGAGAGAGAGAGAGAGAGAGAGAGAGAGAGAGAGAGAGAGAGAGAGAGAGAGAGAGAGAGAAGAGATTTTGAAGCAGATTTGTTGGCTAGTTAGCTGAAGAAAATTAAACTGTGTAGTTAAAGGAAAGTGTTTGATGTGTGTACTTTGCAGTCAATACAAAGACTCCTGCTAGCAAATTTCACATTTAATATCTCCAGAAACCCAATATTAATATTTATTGACTGCATCACTTAATAATATGGAATAAGTAATTCAAGTGACTGTTCACTTGGGTCATTGAATCTTTCACTCAACCGATTCATTAAAAAATATGGATTCATTCAGAAATGAAACCACACGCTGTGTTGCTCAGAGACACGCTACGGATTTGTTTTAAACTATTTTTGTTGACGAAATAGAAAAAAAAGACAATATTGTGTCTAAAACGTAAATAACTTAAAGGAGAACTCCGGCGCAAAATGAACCTTTGGTCTAATTACACATTGTTACCTAGTCAACCGTTATCTGAGATTTGTTTTCATGATTATCGAATGTAAATAGTTTTATCTCTAAAAACAGTTTAGCCTATAAAGCTAGTATAACGCTAGTATATTGGGCATAGATCAATGACAAATAAAAATCGCTTGTTAATACCACTAACAAGGCTCAAAATAGCCCCACACTAACACGGTAGCATAATGAGGGTCCCTACCTTCAAACCGAAGCATTGAGAACTTTGTCAGTGTCCAGACAGTTTAATAAGAAGATATTTAATGCATACAGTCAACTTCGCGTATACAGGCAGGAGCCATCTTTGAAATACAGCCTTTACCAGTCGATCTACGAACGCCGATCCAAGCCTGCTGTTCGCGCTCACCTTATCACAACTTATAGCTCGTTCACATCTCACCAGCGCACTTGGATCGGCGTTCGTAGATCGACTGGTAAAGGCTGTATTTCAAAGATGGCTTCTGCCTGTATACGCGAAGTTGACTGTATGTTTAAAATATCTTCTTATTAAACTGTCTGGACACTGACAAAGTTCTCAATGCTTCGGTTTGAAGGTAGGGACCCTCATTATGCTACCGTGTTAGTGTGGGGCTATTTTGAGCCTTGTTAGTGGTATTAACAAGCGATTTTTATTTGTCATTGATCTATGCCCAATATACTA